GACGTTGTTTTATATGTCAGGAAAAATGATCGGCGAATAAATGTTAACCTCCAACACACAATAATGTTCATTAATGGTACAATATAAATAAATTAAACATTAATACGGACAAAACTAAAAGCATGTTAATAAAAAAACAAACACCAACTCATATTCTAAGCAGTCTTGGAAACCAGTGCCTTGAAAACGTACAGCATATAAGATAGCTTGAGACTTACAAGATACAAGATACAAGATACTTTTATTGTCACTTATAGAAAAACTTGAAAAATTCTTGAAAGTGATGAAAATTTAACATGGGAATATCGCATTAAAGAAGTACTGTAACAAGATATACAAGTGCTGAACTAAATCTACTCTCGAAACTAGCATACACTAGCAAGAATTTATCTAACAATAATACAGCCATGTATGGATTATGGTATTTCATTTTGGAGAAATAGTAGCAATAAAAATAAAACAGTAATCCACTGACTGCAAAAAAGGGCAGCACGTATGTTAATAACTTTGATTGTAAGTTGTAATGCAATTATACATGGCGAGGATATCATCAATAAACTGTCAAGACGAGATTATTCTATAGCTTGTTTATTGCAACGAAATTGAAATTGTATTCTACCGACACGGGGATATAGCACCAGAAACTCGGACTCGCTCAATATCTCACCACCTAAAGTAAATGTAAGAACAATGAAAATTTCACTCAAATATGCTGGCGCGCATGTATGGAATAAGTTGCCACGCGAATTGTAAGAATCGAATAACCTTCGAAATTTTAAATTAACATATAAAAAACTATATTTCATAGAAAAAATCTTCAATATTTTAATTCAATTTATTGCACTCCAAATTAAGTTGTACATAGGCCTATTACATTTGAACGTCCATGTATATTCAATGCCGTAGATTGCAGCTACATTTTGTGACGTTGGGATAGTTCCACACACTTTTTCTAATGGGTCCACAAAAAATGGTCCCAATTTTTAAAAGTTTTATACAAAAAATAATGTTGACTTTTTGAAAAGTATGTCCAGATTTCTTATATTTAGCCTTAAATGGGTAAAATTTTAAGAAATAGGTCCAGATTTTTCATATTTTTGCGTAAAATGGGTTAACTATTAAAATGAATTCACATTATTTGAATTTACGCGAAAAGTGGGTCACCTTGATATTGTCCCCCACTGTTTGAAACTCCTGGCTACGGCATTGTATAGGGTCTATATTATGTATACATGATTAAACGTGGGCTTTGTAATATGTATGTGAATTTCTATAGTGCATATGACGGCAGATACGTGTTTATTTAAATGCCTTGACTATGTGTGATGCATAGTTACGTATTAATATTATGATAGATTTTTATGACCAATTGTAAACCAACCATGGATATAATAGACATAGTGTGAAAACCAAGAAAGTACTTTATTTAACATCTCATTTTTGGATGAGCGGAGGCTGTGTTTTGTATGTGCTGTAACTAGGGTGATACAATAAGTAACGAATTTTCCATATCGAGTTGATGTGATAAATACGTGGGTGACTAGTTTCGTTCCTGGGGTAGGGGCAGCGTACATAGCCTACCTGTGTGATAAAAAGCCCGTGACATTTTGCGTCGCTCGTATTCTGCCTGATGATATGGAACGCCTTTTGACATTTATAAGCAGAATAAATTAACGGTTGTCATTTATTATTTAGATTTGTTAGCCTAATACTATGAGAAACAACCGTAGTTTGTCAGGAATTTATATAAACTACTCAGAAGTCAGAGTTTCCATTCCAGTGCAAGTCTAAATCAGTGATGGCGCCAGGACCTGCCCGACGGAGGGGCTAAAGGCCCCGGCGGCGGGGGGGGTGGCTAGTGGAGCAAATCGAGTCTCACTTGTCTGGGGGCCAGGGGGCTTCGCCCCATGGAAGTCACGGATATTTTACGAATTATGGCGAATGTTTAATACTTATTTGATAGGCATCGAGTTACTATAATATGTCTTCATGTAGGCTATGTTTTCTAATGTCGAAATCCACTTCAGCAGCAGCAGCAGCAGCAGCAGCAGCAGCAGCAGCAGTAGTAGTAACATCATACTATTGTATGATGGAGAAGGTGAAGTTGGGTGGGGGGCTCGATGATCAGTTGAGGGCGCTAATTCGCAAAATATGGTGATTTTAGGTGATTTTTAACTACTTGACCGTGAATTTGGGGGGGGGGGCGACTGGGGGAAGCCGACTGGGGATCCCCTGGGGGAAGCCGACTGGGGATCCCCTGGGGGAAGCAAATTTTGCTTTATATTGCAAATATCTTTTTTTTATTTATCTGCGTTTAATATTGAAAATGGAGTCGGAGGGGCACACCATATCCGGTGATAGTAGTTTTTATACCGCTTTTGCCAATCCTCAGCCCTCCTCTTTCTTTATTGATTTTGTTGTTGTTCTGGCTGGAAGGAATAAAATAAAATAAAATATGTGAAAATGTTGAAATTCTAGGCCTTCTTTCATTGACTGTGATGCAAAATTGTGTATAGCATTATAAGAATGCGTACCTATTTATTACACTTTTTTTTACTTTAAGAACACATTTTATAAGAACACTGAGTTGAGGCTGAAATTGCTTAAAAATTAAGAACAAAATAAGAACAAATTGAGGCTGAGGTAAAGTATAAAAAAAATAAGATTTTTGTTAAAAAAAAAAAATCTAGAAAAACCACAAAATTATATCTGTACCTTATCTGCAGTAAGTGTATGTTATACCCTCTATAATACAGTACAGTAGGTGACCTACCTGTCATTTGGGATAATTTTTACCAGGGTCATTTTCTGGGGCAAATGTTCCCCAGGGGCATTTTCAGGGGGAATTTTTTCCGGGCGGCAACTTTTATTCAGTACAGTGTATACTGCTGTAAAATATTATTTTTCTATGTTTGAAAAGTGTGTTAAATAAGAACAATATAAGAACATTTCGAGTCTGAAATCGGCCAAAGAGTAAGAACACTGGGCCTGGGCAAAATTTTACTTTCTTATAAAAATAGTGTATTTATAATATACGCCTTGCATAGTTACAACGGAATGACACGACACTTGGTGATGAAATAACTTGTTTAGATAAAATCTTAATTATAATTACGAAACAACAGTTGTATAATTAACTTTAGGCCCAAAAATCAGTCTTGTGATGACGGAAACATGCAAAGGTATCATTTCCTTTTGAACTAATAGGCCTATGCGCTAATACATAAACACACGCATATCCAATGCGTTTAGCGTTTCTGTGTTTCTTGGCTTTCAAGATCTTTAGCTTTTGGTTGCTAGTTGTTATGAAGTGGTGTTGATGCCATTTCACTAATTTCTTCATTGGTAAAATCCATGAAGAATTAAGCGTTGTAGGCTCTATTGGATATACTAATTACTTAGGCCTAAGTTCTTTTTATGGTATCCATTTTGACCTTTTCTTGCTAAAAGTTATAGGCCTGTGTCATGCTATTATTATAGGCAAGATTCCCAAATAAAGCAAAGTATACCAATGGTGGGCTTAACATTCTAGCCTCGAATAATCAACTGTTCAGATAGTCCCCGGAGGTGTGAACGATGACTTGCCTACTGGGTTTGGACACACGAACTTTATTGATTTGAGCAGGTTTTTAAAGAGATTTTACCATTTAAAAGATCCAAAACTATTCCAAGGATATTATACTGAATGAACTTCTGGTATGAATAATAAAAGTATTTGCCAGTTGAACCTATTAAAACCAAACATTTAGATAGAGGTTTCTGAGACAGTCTTCACTTCACACTTGCATTTTTAAAATATCTGTTGAGCAACTTAATATGATGAATGACATTTTCGCCGAAATCTGCACCAATTTTATGCAACTTCCGTGTCTGCTCCCTGATTTTAAAGAAATCAGGGAGCAAAGGCACTCGAGTTGTCACAAATTAACAAAAGAAAAATACAAAATTTCTAAGAATACCTTTATTTATTTATTGTAAAAATGCAATTTTTAATGTTTTTAATCTGTGATGTTTGTGTATTAATAATTAATCCTTTGATGTTTTTATATTACTTTCCTTCAATGTTTCATATTACTGTTCTGTATTATTGTAAGTATCATTTAATTCAGTCCTCGACTGCGATTTTGATATTGAATAAAATGAAATGAAATTCCATATTAGGTTTCCTATTTAAAGTGCAACATTGTATGGTTTATGTACATTTCTTATCCATGTCACTCTGCAGGTAGCGTATTTAGTGTACTGGATTGAATTATTGATGAAGTTAAAGTACGGCTTAAGTGAGTTTATACCCATTACAATGTTGTATAGTGACTGACACATGAACAGTAATACAACAATATCATTTAAAGTCTACTATGGCTATCGGAATTACTGAATTGATTGATTAGAGGGGGAAATCCATGGGGAAACCTCACTGTATCAAGGAGATTGCTGATTAATGAGCTGAATTTTAGGGGATTGCGTGGTAGAAAAATGTTTACTGCGAGAGGGAGAAATTTGGTGATTTTGTCCTTATAATGGAGATTTCTATGATGGGTTTCATAGTGGGTTTTGAAATTTTTTTGTGGAATAAACTTTGCATAAATAGTATTTACGTAATTTACAGCATTTGTTTGGTCGTTACACCCTGTTTGGCAATGTTTTGGTTTTGCTTGACTTAGCAAATAACTTTGCTTGCATATAATGTGTATGTAATGGCTTTGACAAAATATTATTTTAAAATAATTGAAACAAATACTATTTAGGGCCTACATAAGTTAAGGTCATTATTTGGTTAAGGAACTTTGCTTGCATATACCATAGAGGTTATTCCTCCATGCATATACTATGTATGTTTAGTTGTTAGGCCCAGTTTGTTAATTGGCTAACACCAGTTAGCCGACTGAGCTAAAAAGCTCTGTTTGTATATATTATAGCAAGTAAAATTTCACACTAAAACTTCATCTGAATGACAAAAGGTGGCGCTAATTGTGATGTATTTATTTTTGTTTTTTCAGACGGCGTTTTCAGTCATTGTTGATAGCCTGCTGCATGTCGTACAATGGATAATTCGACTTTACCGTTTGCATGCCAACATGAGCCGATTGAACTGGAAGAAATCATACGTATAATTATCATAATAGTTTGCAGTGTCGTCGGTATTGCTCTAAATGGGATCCTCATCATCGTTGTCCTTTCTACTGACGGTCGTGGAGATGTTTCCGGACAATTTCAGACTGTGATGATATTAAGTATATCTATTAGTGATCTTGCCTACCTGATTTTGACTCCAGTTCACGATATTAGCATGATTTTCTATGACAGTGTTTTCGGATCACCTGTAGTGTGCCCTATGTTCGGTTTCGTACTAGTATTCACCCAGGGAGTATCATCACTAAGTTTGTGTCTCTTGAGCTTTGACAGATACAGAGCGATTATGAAGCCCATGCAGCACCGTCAATGGCAGAAAAAACGACGGTATGCTGCGGCTACCGCCTTCATATGGACACTGAGCATATCGATGGCTATACCACAGCTGTTCATATCAGGTTATGAGGTGGAAGAGTGTGACGAAGGCCCTGATATGCCCTACTGTGTGCACAATAATCATTTCGGTAATTTAGAAAAAATCTACACTACAATACAAGTCGTGGTGTTTTACCTGGTGCCAGTGATTTTCATAACTGGATGTTACGGTACTATAGCGCATAAACTGTTACAAACACCTCAATTCGAGAAGAATGTGTCTCAGCGAAAGGCAACGAAGCAAAGGAACAAACTATCCATGGCGCTTGTCATCATCTCTATATCTTTTGGAATCTGCTGGTTTCCAATTATGTTAAATAAGATTTGTATGCAATACATCGACATATTCTCAAGGTTTGATATCATGAAGTGGATATATTTTGTGAAGGCTTGCCCTATTTTGGTGTACGTCAATTGTGCTGTGGACCCATTCATTATGTTTACACTCAGTCGCAAGTACTGCGTTGCTTTGACGAAACCATTCCGAAATTGGAAACTTCTTCCCAAAAGACTCACACTCCACAGAAGACCCACGTACACCACAGAAACAATTGTGCTAGAAAGCAGCTCCCAACAGATAGGCTTAAACAACACTGAGAGAATTTCGAAAATATAATAATAAACATAAATTATTTGATGACTGCAACCGACAAAACAATTAAACAGTACATCAATCGAAGTTATGGTTGTTGAATTGGGAAAGAAGAAAACAAAAATATAAATAATAAGTACAGGTATATATAATGTATTGATATATAATTGTGTATAGAAATTACATGCGATCATATACGATATGGTATGGTGTGTTTATAATAAATTTATGAGCATAAAATCTACGCTAGACATATGTACTAAGAACCATATTTAATGGAAAATGGAAACAATGAAAAAAAAAAGCTACATCCACGAAAGACAAACAATAAAAATCTTAGCAATTACAAAGTATACGCTCTAAAAACGAACCCAAATTTCACTTTGATGAATATTTGAGAGCAAGAACGACGTTTGGAGAATACTATTAGTCGTATGAAGAACGATTTCAATTACAAAAGGTATACGTCATAACTACCTAGTTGATTAATATACGTACCAATCTGTATTGAGCTAAAATAGGCCACTATCTTTCATTTAAAAATTGAAATGACTTCGACAATGACAAATGGATATGTTGTCAGTATGTTACTGGTTATCAATTTTCGAATTTTTGTACTGTACATAAATGACCGCCGTCTGCTGATTGCCGATGGCGTTGTATTCTGCATGGAATCACGTCAGCCGATATTCATTAGAAGTAATGTGTTCCTGACTTCAATATAAAAATAAGTTGAAATTCGTAGAGTGAAAGCAGATTACTTTAAACGTCACAGTACCATTCAACCTTTATTACACTATTACGTACGCCTATTATTTCGTTAAAAGGAAGTGTCAATCAAACTTAGCAATTGACCAATCAGAACAAGACCAGGGATACTCGCGTGTACTACCATGGAGGTATAAAATAGAATACCTCCATGGTACTATAGGCTATGTTCTCACACGGCAGCTAACGGTTAGCAGGATCCGGATCCTTCTAACCGTTAGCTGCCGTGCGTCCATACGAGAAAATCCCGATCCGGATACCCAGAATATAATGATCGAATCACTGACCAATAAGAAACTGGAAATTGTAAACGCGTACGTGTGATTGGTTGATGATAGAAACGCGCTCACTTGCTAACCTATAGCGCTTGCTAACTGTTAAGGCCAACTCAGACAGCGTCGTACGACGCAGCCCGACGCGATTTGTTGTGGCGTCGGGTCTGAGTGAGTTAAACGCAGACGTGATGGTGTGCGTCGGGGGCAGTCGCGTCGTAGAATATAAAACATGTTTAATATTTCTCACGACGGCTTAAGACTGTCCCCGACGATAAATCGGGTCGGGCTGCGTCGGCCGACGCTGTATGTCTTAGTTGGCCTTGTAGCGGTATCCGGATACCGCTAACGGTTAGCGCTAACCGATCGGGCGTTCTCACGCATGTGCTAACGGTTAGCGCTAACGGTTAGCTCCCGATCCGGATACTAGGGCTCTCGTGAGAACCAGGCTACACACACATGGGACGTGTATTTTTTTCGCTAAGCCTCGCCCCTTCCTTGTCGTTGTTAAGATCCCACAAAACGACAGTGCTGAAATACGCAAAAGTGCGTTTGCGGGACAACACTGTGCTTGTTAGATACGCACGTATTCCTGGTCCTGTTCTGATTGGCCAGTTGGTTTGACGGACATTCCGGATAGGTCCATGACCAGTAATGACATTAATTATGTCACTGTTACTTAGAAACGCATATGTAGCAGAACGTTTACAGAGTTAATTTTCCAGCAGATAGACTGGTTGCAAATCTAACAATTACTGAGATATTATACTTTGGTCTTAATGAATAGTTTGATGACATTGAATTTTAATTCACACTTCTTCGGAGACATGTATAGGCCTATCATAGGCCTATCTTGGTTATCACCAATCAAACACTGGGAATTTAAACAGTGTTTCTGTGTATAGCGTATAGATATTCCATTGTTAAGATCAAAATAACTTGTTTGTTTAATTTACATTGTGTAACTTGTTTTCTCTTTATAGTGTATACGGTATATATCTGTTTAAATTATTATTTTGAATAAAGTGAAAAGAAGAGGGAAAAAAGAATCCAAATAATTATACAGGTACTCAGTATACCGTTTTGTTCGTTTATTACTCAGTGCTATTTTGAAAAAAAATTTTAAAAAGTAAATAATATAACCATTACATAAACAAAATAGTGAATTAATGATGAAAAACTTAGTAAAAAGTATATATATATATATATATATATATATATTTGCATCAGTAGGCATATAACGAGTAACCAGATATTTTTGTGATTGGAATTCTTGACATATTTATTATTATGTGTCCATGAAATCAAATAACACCCTGAGGCGGGAGAGAAAGCAGCCTGTTTAGCATATAGATTTAGGTGTTTTGTTATTGAATTACTGTTTTTCCACCAAGGAGATGTCATCCCATCGCTGTTCGTATGCCTATTTGTCTGTCTATCTTTTAGCTAGATTACGCAATAATAATAATAATAATAATAATAATAATAATAATGAAATGATTAAAAATATGTATTGAGAGCGTAATAAGTAATTTAGAGCGCTTATAAGATCTTTGATTTAGAGACGGAATACTGTAAAAACCGAAAGGTCCACTGATAAATCTCAGAATAAGATACATATTCCAAGTATCGAAATGCACGCCATCGTGTCGGGATTCAAATATTGAATCCCGACACGATGGCGTGCATTTTGATACTTTTGAATCCCGACACGATGGCGTGCATTTCGATACTTGGAGTATGTAGAATACTGTACAGTAATCCGAAAAGAAAAAATTGAGTATGGGACGATAAAAAAAATGGCGGGCACTAAGCGCAATAAAGAGTGAGTAAAAGTTTTTGTTATTGCTATTGCTGAAAACAACGGTATGTTAATATAATAATTCGGACCAATTTTGACTATTGATAGGAAATTGCAATACCATATCTAGTCAGCCGAACTATTATTTTTTCCTGACAGGTGTGGTGTTAACAACGAGACACGTTTCTGCCAGTTTCGGCGTAACTTCTCCTATCTCCTCTGAAACCGCTGGCAGGAATGTGCTCATTTTTCATACACTGGTTTCTATAAGGCTAGATATTGGATGGCAACGAAAGAAACAGCCAAAAACCACCCAAAATGAGTACCTTAACGGCCATGTTTCGCGAGTTGTTTACGTCACATAAAAACTATAGCAACCCCTCGTTTGTGCTATGTGTCGTAGGTTCGATTCCCACTGTCATTTGCGATGTTTTTTTTTTTTGTTTTTTTTTTTTTTTTTTTTTTTTTCTCTCTTTCCTTTTTCAGTGTACGTACTGAACATAACATCAGGTACGGTAAACATCGATTCGTATTATTTTTCCTGACGCAAAAACGTAATCAGAAGTAATGATGATGACGATGACCGTCATAAGGATGGTGAAGATAATGATAAAACCAGGGAACAGTGAAATTACACTGTTCCCTGGATAAAACTATAATAATATAAATAATAATAATAGGCCAATGCCTAATAATAACAATAGGCCCAATAATGCATAACGATAATAATAAGATACGATGAAGCTGTATTGTCACAGTAAATATAGCTATGAGGTGATACAATACTAGAATTAGAAATTTATAGAATAGCATAATATGAAGCCATGAAGCATCCTTTGCAATGAAGGCGTCACTGGTAGCATAACCAATGAATATATCTTAGTGAGGTTAGAAGATGCGATTATAAATTTACCATAAAGCAATTCGCATCATCAATTCTATGAGTTCTATTAATTTAGGATTTGGTGCCTTTACCGCGGCTACTGCCGTACTATTCACGGTGTTAAGCACTTTTTCCAATGTGTGATCGGTATTAATTCATTACAAAATAAATCCGTTATAACATGGAGGAAATATTTCCTCCATGGTCAAACACAAATAATTCGACTTAATTAAAGATATTTATTTATTTATGATAGGCCTAATTATTTTGGCTTACGGTGGGGATGGGGGGTGGGGTGGTGGTTGCGCCTCAGAGGTATAGGCCTATGCAGACTTTAGTTATTAGCTTTCAATAGACCTTTCTGCTAAGCCCCGCCCCTTGGATATTGTTGCTAAGCTCCCACAAAACGACAGATTGTTAAAACATACGCGAACACGTGCGTTTGTAGGACAACACGTGTGCTGGTTAGACACGTGCGTATTCCTGGCCCTGTTCTGATTGGTCAGTTGTTAAGTTTGCTTGATACTCCGGAAAGGTCCAATAAATAGGGTTTAGTAGAAAATCGTAAATTAAGGGTCAGTAATCTTTTAAAATAGTCTGGTAATTGAGATTTTGTAGTAAAACGTCTGTAAATCAGTGTACCGAATTATTTTGTTTTAAATTGAAAGTTCTTAATTTAGTAGGCCTAATTTTAAATGAACAACTTACCGGTAATTTTTATTGAATTTTGAGACGTTTTTAATTCATTATATACTATTATTTTATTATTATTATTGCTATGCCGTTGGAACTCAGTCGATCTTTATGATTATGAAGTAATTGTTTTGTTACTGATATGCAATATATTTTTCAGAGGTCTAATCAACAGAACACTTTAAAAATTAGTGAATTTCCTGCGGGGCTTACCTCTACGTTCCTCTCTTTTCAAATACCATACTTTCATGTGATTTTATTTCGTCAATATCAACATCATAACACAGCCAGTTAAAAAATGTAAAACAGTAAAATATTTTCGTTAGATGATAAACAAAAAGTAAACTGGATTGTGGGTTTTTTTTTCCTCCGAGGGTATATCTGTATCATTAAAACATATACAGAGAGTATCGGTCTTTCGGGGAACTTGGTTCAAGTGGTTTACATGAGGTGCAGGCGCGCCTACGCGTTGTGAGAATATTTTTGAAATTTGCTTTAAATTACTTTGTGTAAAGCAAACTTTAGCACTGAAAAACCTATAACACTTTAACATTTTCAATATCATTTAACTCCGCACAGAATGCGAGTAGGAGTAATCTAGGCCTAATTGATATGGACCTACAATTCCGTTATTGCATAAAAACTAGGAATGATTTATATTTCTACCACTTCGTATACCATTCTATATGAATCCCACGGCACCGTGAGACGCCACCTGATTCCCTTTTCTATGAATTGATTAACACAAATTTACAAAAAGGTAGGTCTATTGTTTATGTCATATTCAATCTGATTACCGTGACATTTGAATCACAGTGAGGTATCTAAAAAGACAACCTAAATGAGATAAGCAGTAATATCCGAGGCTGACAACCCGTAACAGATAATTGCTGCAATATCAGCTGTCATATTACATCATGTTAACAATGTTTCGCATTCCTCTTAATAATAGGCACACAATAAGTATAAGTATTTATGTAATAGGCCTATGTTAACTCAGTTACAATAAACTTTAAACAATCTAAGGAAACCAGCTTGGAATATGGAGTACGGTACGGTACCTCAGGGCTCAGTAATCAGTCTGGCCATATACTCTTCCTTTGGGGAATCTCATCAGAAAACATAAATTAAACTCCCAATCCTAGGCTGGTACGC